GCTGCGGGCCCCGCGCCCGGTGCTCACCCGCCCGAGCCAACTTGCGATAGGCTCAGGCTCGCGCCGCGCCCGCGCCCGCGCCCGCAGGGGTTAAACCTTTCTCATGTTACCGAGCGGCTTATAAGGAGGGGGAGGCCAAGCCTCCGCCTTATTGGGAGCCTTTTGGGGTTTATTCTCTTCCCTTCTAACTTGGTGAGTTGGTTTTATTATTTTTCATGTTTAAAAGTTTGATTGTGCGGTGTGGGTTTGTTGTTTTGTTTTGTTTTTTTGTTTTTTTTTAAATCTGTTTTGGGGGCGGGATGGGTTGGGGGGCGGAGGAGACAACTTACCCATCTTAACATTTTGGAGAGATTCTCCGAAAAAAAAAAAAACACCCCCAAATCTGCCCACTGGGAATGCCCGGGGCCGCCGGGATGACGCGCTCTCTCCAGTGTGGGCTGCTGAGAGTGAAATGTCCGAAGGTCCGTGTCCCCGGCACAATCGATCAGAAAAATACAAGGGGGCCCGGCCTTGGAGTGCCCCCGCCCGGGCGAGGGGCCCCAGGCCGCGGGGCGAGTCCGTGACGCGGGGCTCAGCCCGGGCGTGCATTTTCCGCATGAAGTTGCCTGCGCGTCACGAGGATGAAATGTCAGAGGTGCCGTCCCCCCGCGCGCTTGCAGGCGGCCACCGGGCAGCCGGAGGGCAAGTGGAGATTCCCGTCGCCCCGCACCCAGCACACACACGCGGGGCGCTCCCCGCGACCCCCCAGGAGGCGGGCTCCCGCGCACAGGCAGGTCCCACGCCGCGGCCGTCAGAGCTGTCAGCCACTGACTGCGGGTCCCGCGCAACTTCGGAGTCCGGGAGCCGCCGACCGCAGAGCTTCTGTGTAGCCGAGCGGTGCTCTAGCGAGGGCGGAGGATTTTGCGAGAAAATGGGCCATTTCCTTCTGGTTTGGTTTTTCTCTTGCTTTTTAAACTAAATTCCCTCCTCCCACCGCAGACAGGTAACAGAAGTTTGCTGGGTGGCGTGTAAGTCGCCCCAAACGGGGAGAGGGCGTGTTGAGTCTTAGCGGAGGCTCCCGGAAGCCGACGGGGAAGAGCAATTACAACTTGTCAACCTGGAAGCAGGTCTTTTGAGTAGGTAGACGGTTGGCATTCGATGCCGGCTGCTTCTCAAAGGAGATGGTCTTTCATTCCCCGTCATTTCACTGTTTGGTAACGCCTACTGAAATGCGTGTTGTTTGTAAAAGAAACCAAGTGCTTAGCCTGAAATTCCACCGAGCAGCTCCCCGGTCCCAAGCACCATGACGCAGCATTTAAGGGGTTAACAATCCATCCTCCCTGTGGTATAGAAATACCCTTCTCTTAATTTAGGGAAGGGCGACCAAGAGAAAGTTACAGTATGGGAAAAACAACCAGCTTAGTGGAAAAGCTAACTCCGGCTTTTCTTCTGTGGTTTGCAAAAAAAAAAAAAAAGTGGGGGGGGCTCTCCTCAGTGGAACTCCTGAGGAGGACACTCAAATTAGGGGTTTCTGTATCGTGACCTCGTAAAATGGGTGAATTGGTTGACCCCAATGATGCAAACGCTACCCTCCATTTAAGTCTGGCAGGGCTGGGCTTTTTTTTTTTTTTTAAGTATTCAAATGAACTTCACCTATAAACTGATTGGTTTTGATCACTGGGGCTGGAAACAACTTGTCTAAAGCTGTTCTCCAAGCAACCCCTTCCAGAAGACTAGAGATTGCCTGAAGCTTTGCTGTGCTGACAGCCTTCCCCATCTCCACCCAAAGCCTGCATTTTACTCAGAACTGAGAGTGGATTAACGCGCGGTCTGTAATGAGCCAATATTTTGCATTCTTCGTGCTCCCAGGTAAAAAATTTTTCTCAACAAGCCAAGTCAGAGAGAGAAGTCCAGGCATTAGCAGATCTCGGAGTCTCAGTGTTACAAGGCAACCTGACTGGGTAGCCTGCCGGTGAGTCCTCACCCGTTCACATTAGTAGAATATATTTTTTTAAAGATGTATTTATTTATGCTTACATAACTGGGGTACAGGCCAGAGGTGTGGTGGGTGAGAGGATTCACCAGAGACAGAGTGGGGAGCAGGACAGGCAGATCAACGAAGTACACTGCTGAGGGGAGCAGCGGGCGGGTCAGGAGAGGTCTGCTGCACCATGTGGGTCGGCTCCCTGGCCTGGGATCGAACTTGTGCTGCAGAGGCTTCGGAGAGCTTCATAATGTGGTGCTTTAACCTGCTGGCCACCAGGGAGAGCCCCGCAGAATATTTTTTATGTGAAGTGAAGAATACCAAAGGCCTAGTGGGATAGACTCCGAGGCATGTTTTGTTTTCCTTCCTCCGGAAGAACTTCAGTGTGAAGGCCAGACGGGAACCCTTGTGCATGACTAGAATTTTACAGTTGAACTCAAAGCCTCAGGGCAACCATGACTGCTGCAGCTGCCTTACAAAGATGGGACTGAAGGATGGAGGGATTTCCCCCATGGTGCAGCCAGTTAAGGGGCCATCGGATAAGGATCTGGGGCCATGAGAAGACAAACCCACAGGTCTAGTGTCAAAGAACCTAAGTAAGATGAAAGGGTAACTTAGAGCAAGGCTGGCTCAAAGGCTGCCACAGTGGCGGATTCCTAGAGCAGGAAATCGGAACTCTGTGTCTAGATCAGCTCCCTCGCTTGCCTGCTGATGACACTGCAGGTCACAACACAGGATCCACCCCCAGCTAGAGGCTGCGCGGTGACCCCACCATTTAGATCCCCTCTCCGTAAGCCAGTTCCCATCCCTTCCCAGTAGATAAATTCATGTGATCGTAAAACCAAAACAGACCATTGTCTGTCTTCTGGAAGGTGTCACGACTTGTAAGTTACCGGTTCCACACGCAGGCCTCTCAAGTCTTATTTTGTTCGTAGGCTCGTTAAGCCAGTTTTCCCATTTTGCAGAAAGAGTTGGCCTGTTGACTGGATGGAAGAAAGGGAAGAAGAGACCAGAGGGTTTATCCTGCTGTCTTCCTCACTGGATGGCTTTTGTAAGGAGGCAGCTGTGCACTGCTCCAGAGATGCCCCCAAGACTTCCATTTTGTTTAATGAGCTCTTATTGAGCACATACTATGTGTCATGCTATGCTCGGCTGAAGCGCTGGGACAGGATGTGGACTGCTCTCCCCTGGGGCATCCAGCATGTTCTAGAACCAGGTTATTGATTCTGTCGTGATTCCATACTGCAGTCTTTATTTCAGAGGTTAATATACTAGGATGATGGACTGGCGTGGGAGTGGATTTGAAAAGGCCGTCTTTGCTTTATGAGATTCCCAGGAATCGAGAAGAGAGCTGATCTCTAAACACCTAAGGAGGTAGGCAGAAGTTCTATTTGGAGCTAGCTTCAGTGGACTAACACAGATGCAAAGCAGACTTTAAAAAAGCAAACAAAGGAACCCCCCAAAGTTTCAGGAAACAGAAGTAAAATTAAGTCGGCCACCTAGCCAGCTGTTGCCCAGCGGCCTCACCAGCTCCCAGCTCCTGCACACTTACCTCTGCATGCAAGACCTAGCTTGCTTACTTCCTCCTAGCTCTCTGGCTTCCTGGGGCCAGCTGATGTGGCCTGCAGAACCTTCAGGCAGTTATTAGCACCCAGTGCAAAATGCAAAAGCCTGAGCTGTTAGCACTAGATGGACTTAAGGAGCCCAGCTGACCTCCTTGGACAAATAGAGGAGCCCAGACACACAGCTGTGGTGACTTTCTCAAGGTCAGACAGTTAAGTGCTGAAACAGCTCCTAGACCCCTTTACACACACAGGTCAAGAAAGTGTTTAGCTGTGAAAACAAAAATGGGTTTTCACATCGCTATTAAATGCCTCCTCCTCTGGCCTTTAACACGCGGTGCAGGTTGTCTAACAGCAGAGGAGGTGAGGGCGCCTCTGGCCTGTGGCGTGGCCTGCCTGCTTTGTGGTGCAAGTGAATTGTACTAATGCGAGATGTGGACAGTGAGGAAACTGAGCACTGGGTCTAAGTGACCCCTCCGTGTGACCTTGGCAACTTTTCTATAGAGCTTAAACTATTCTAAAATTTGACAGTATAGTTCACAAATCCACACTCACTCTTCAAATTAAATTCAATCCCGGAGGCTGACTTCGCAAGTCCCGGAGGTAGGAAGCTGGTTCTGGGACCATTTGGGGCAAGAATTCTCTGGGGCTGTTTTTTCCCATTGTGCAAAATGACCGTAGGATTTTATAAAGAGATGGGCAAGATGAGCTCCAGATTCCTTTTGAGCTTGAATATTCTGCAATTCTAACTCCATCCTGAGGCTACAGGTTGGTCATAATCCCCCCATGTTGCCATCCCAAGCCCCTCATCACAAGAGGCAAAGAGAAAGAAAGAGGCATCCGTTTCCAGAGCTGGGAGCTGATAGCAGAGATCGGCTCACCTTTGTACCAAAACTGCCTTGCATTCCCTCTCCCCATCCAACCCAAAAAGATTCTAGTACTTGCCTCCAGAGTGATTTTAGGCTAGAACGAGTTTTAATTCTCTTGATCAATTTCATCCCCGTAGGCCCCTCCTTCAAGACTCCAAGGTCCTATAGGCAACTTCTGGGTCAGAACAATGGTGCCGACGTGACCCTGGACTTCAGAGCCACCTGGCCCCGACAGCCGGTTGGACAGTACTAAACTCTAGAAGGTCACGGCTGGATGGTTTTTAATGTGATGCATCTAAGCCTCCAGGTCCTGTGTCATTATCATCAAAAAAGACTGACACCCACGGAGGCTGGGACAGTCTGTCCTGTCCCTGTACAGGTAGGGCCCAGCACCTAGTGGACATTTGGCTAAAAACAATAATAAAAGTTGTGTGCAAGGTACGGGGGCAGATGGAGAGATCCAGAGACATCTAGTAGACCCCAGCACTGTGAGCTCAGAATTTAATGGAACAATCAGCTAACCCCATCAAAGTAAGCAACACCCCGCGATGACCGGCACCTGTCACATGAAGAGCCTGTTCAGTGAGCTGGTCCAAGGAAGCACTGGGGAGGGGAGGGGGTGGGAGCAGTGTGGCCTTCCAGTTGCCAGCAGGAGCTGGAGGGCAGTGCCCAGAGAGTAAGGGCCTGCAGAAATGGGGCTGAAGAAATAGGTGAGTTCAGTGACAAGGACACTGGGAGGCAGATGAGCCGGTGGGTTTTGTGGTTCAGAGAAAGGAAAGCCATTCACAGGTTTTGACAATGCACCATTTCGAAAATATTTCTAGCCCGGACACATGGAGCCAGTAACAGCTAGCAAAGGAGTCGTGAGTTCACAAGGAAAAGCTCCCCCAGAGCCTGGCGGACGTGACGGGGCGGGGAGGGCGTGGGAGTGCAGTCTAAGGCCCAGAGCTCCCTCACTACCCCTGCCATCCCCTAGAGACAGAAGCGGCTAAGCCAAGCTGCCAGCACTTTGTCTCCGGCCTCCTGACTCTTCGAGCTGGTGCCCCTTTGCACTGCTCGGCTCCAGCTGCCTCGTCAACTTAGAAAGTCCTGGTGAAGCAGGATGGTGAAAACCTCATTTGCTGGCGGGTCCTGGGCTCCCGCCTCAAATCAACTGCTTGCCACGGTGGGGACCTTTATGACAGGCTGAGCTGTGACGGGCCTTGTCCGCCATCACCCTTGGGAGAGCACACGGACCCACATCCCAAGGCCAAGACCTTTGCTGCAGAGACCACCAGCTGCTCACAGCATCTTCTGCCCCTTGTTTTTCAAGGAAGCACTTAGCAGTAATAACGCCAGTGAGTCCAGAGCCCTTCAAAACACCAGGTTTGTGGGGATGGTGCTATCAGCAGGAAGAACAATGTGAAGTCAGAGCTGCTGCTTCTTACAATTGAGAGTAAATTCTGATTGCAAGATGCTAGTGTCTAGGAATCTAGATAATCTAGAAATAGGCTAGGTTACTAGGTAGATGAAATTGAGTCCTGTTATTTTTCAATAACATATATTATCAATAAGACCGTTTTCAATACTTAAGCATGACGCCTGATAGCCAGGCAAGAGGCCCATGAGCATCTCAAAATTCACTGGGTACAACTATCTAAATTGTAGAGAATTCTAAAACTCAAGGTTGAGTTTAAGGCCCATGCAGTACATGAAGGCCATGGGCTCATTTGTTACAGCTGTTGATTTTCACCTGGACCAACACACAGCTCTATTTTAGAAGCTGTCTAGCTGTAAATTTGGGCTTTGAAAATCTGGGCTTGCATGCCAGCGTCCCGTGCAGAAGACTGAAGCCAAACCCCGCTCTTTCTAGTGTTAGTGTTTCATCTTATCGAGTGGCTTATGGCCTGGGTCTGCTCGTTCTCATGTTTGTTGCAATTAGAACAAAAAAGTGGATGAGGTTTGGGATAACTGGGTTCAGTTCACCGTCTGCCCAGGCCTTGGTGCAGCTTAGTGTGGTCACAAATGTGCAGTGTTTCTCGTGCGTGTCGAATCCAGTCGCCAACGCACCAAGTGGAATCCGCCCTGAGGAGCTAACTCATGCCAAACAAATGTCCAGAAGACAAGACTCTCACCTTTTGATGAATAGTTACGTTCTGTCCTATGTCCCTGTGTACGTGCAGGGGACACAGGTCGTAATCAGGATGTTGCTCTGTGGGGAATGGGCTAAGGAGAGGTAGCTGAGTGATCTTCACTCTCAAGGCTTGTCACGTGGAAGGTGCTGGATGGGTTGTCAATATTTGCCTCTCAGGCTCCCTTCTTTTAGGCTTCATTTCTGGTCAGTATTCCCACGGTTGGTCCAGTGTTCCTCCACCTGGTCTGCAAGTCCAACATCAAGCCTCTGTCCTTGACCTGGTGGGCCATTCTTGGTCTCTCAAGATGCCTCTGGTGGTCTATCCTGATTCCTGCTGTTGATTTGTCTCATTAAACCATCACAGCTTAGGCGCCTTACTTCCAAACTCTACAGGGACTCCACCTATATATAATAATTTAATGTGTAAAATATCTATAATAAATCTATATCCTAAATTATATATATATATGTATATATATAATTATTATCCAAGGCCCTGCTCCCAATGCACATGCCTTAACTATTCCTCAGAAACACGGGAGGGGTTCTTATCTGAGATGTCCACTAAGGAGGATGAGAATCGACCTTGATGTTGCTGATCTGAATTTTTTTTCAACTTTTCCTTTCAGATTAAGAATGACCCAAAAGAAATCGCGGCTTTGTTCCAGAGCCAATGTTTATTCTCAAGTGCCTGATGGAGGATGGGGCTGGGCAGTAGCTGTGTCTTTCTTCTTCGTTGAAATCTTCACCTATGGCATCATCAAATCATTCGGCGTCTTCTTTAATGATTTAATGGACAGTTTTGATGAATCTAATAGCAGGATCTCGTGGATCATATCCATCTGTGTATTTGTCTTAACGTTTACAGGTGAGTGCACCTGTCCCCTTTGGCGCGCTAAGCAGCTGTCACTGCCCTTGGCTGGCTAACAACGTGCTCACGCTGTCTACCACGCATCTCCTTTTGTGACCTGTCGGCCCTTCCTTGCCCCATTTAAGTAAGATGGTTTCGAGGAGCAGCAGTTTTGTGGCGATGCTGACTTTTCTGTAAAGATGCAACAGCTGAAGCTCTGAGAATGTTAGGCCCTCATCCTCATGCTTGAGAAATGAGGCTTCATGACGGAAGACGATGGGATGGTGTGAGAGACTAAAATTCCAACTGTCTGGGGGACACTCTGAAGCCCAAACGCCTGCCCCCTCCAGGACCTTTGCTGCGAATCGTAGCATAGGTCCCACAGCATCAAGTGAGAAAGGGCTCACGTGTAACCTCTAACATACTGACGTTTACCTGGTCCTAAACAGGTGTAATCCGAATACACCTGCCAGGTCTCAGGCCCATGAAAAACCTGTAGGAGGAGTCCCCAGTTCCAGCTGCAGTATTTGATACTTAATTTTGAAATTGTGAAATGTATCCTCCTCAGATCAGTTCAGCAAAGTAGAACCCAAGTTTTGTTTTTGGTCATCTAAATAAAAAGAAAAGCCCCGACTTTCAGTTTTAGCTCTTTAATAACCAAAGAAAACAACGTAGTCTGTGGGGGAATTTCCAGTTAATACTATTACACCAGGAGGTAATATTCCTAAATGCTATTATTTCTAGTAGTTAATGCTTTGGCAGTAGTTACTGCCTACAAATGATGATAGTGGCTTGATGATGAGCTGCAGTCTTCTTTTTCCTGACCCACCAGATTACCAATTTATTGCCAAGGCTATTAGAGGATGTGAACCAATAGCCAGAGGAAATGAGAGAGTGAGTCTCTCTGTGCCTGGCAGAGTGTGGGGCCGTGGCACTGGGCCGGCCCCTTGCCCAGCTGGAGGGAGCCACCGAGCCCATTATGACTTTGCCCTCTGCCGACATAAGAGCGAGACAGGGTGCTTCATTTCCACTTCTTTCCAGAATGTTCTGCATTGCTCTCCCTATACCGCCTTCTTTCCAGAATGTTCTGCATTGCTCTCCCTACACCACCACGGCTCCCCTGGCTCCGTCTGTTTGTATCAGCCTAGCCAAGGGACACAGAACAAGACTCCAGATGAGGCTGTCTGGGGGAGACAATACAGAAACAAGGTGGCAGCCCCTTGTTTCTCACCCCCCCACCCCCAAACCTGAGCTTTCCCCTCATCCTCGCCACATTTCTTTCAGAAGAGCTCAAGAAACTGAGCTAGTATTCCCCCTCGTTAGAGTTCCTTAAAAAGCCAAAGCACAGGTTACAGGAAAAGATGCCTCCAGCACTTGGGGAAAAAACATTCTCATTACCGAATAACATAAACGGGACCAGAAGTTCCAGGCGCTCGTGATGGAGCCAAACCTTCCATGTCAAAATCTGCCAGTTGGACCCTATGACCCTGGGAGAACCCTATGACACTGACACCCTCTTTCAGGGGCTGGGAGAATATAATCTGATGTAAACAGATACTGAGATATGGGGTGACCTAGGGGTGAGCTGCTGGTGGGGATGATTAGAAGTTAGTTACTTCGTAGTGGGGCCGTTCCTGAACTGCCTTAAGTACCCAGTGCATAAGGTGTGTGATCCGGCGTTCATCGTCTCTCTGTGTTCAACACTTCAAAGCAGGACCTTACTAAAGCTCACGATCAGTCCAAGCTCAGCGAGTTAAAATAGCGCCTTGCGGGGTCTCCATTCCAGCACCCCTCTCCACGGTCCTGAGCGCCCGATTCGGACACCGGCTGGTGGTGATGGCGGGAGGGCTGCTTGTCAGCGCCGGCATGGTGATGGCCTCCTTCTCACACAAGGTTTACGTGATGTACCTCACCGTCGGCATCGTGTCCGGTGAGTGCTTCTCCAGGTGCAGACATTCCCCCGGTGCTTAGTTTGTGCAACCAAGAAGGGCAGGAAGGAGTCTCTCTCTCTCTCTCTCTCTCTCTCTCTCTCTCTCTCTCTCTTTTTCTTTGCCATGAGTGGCTTCCCGGGTGAGTGGTTTTGAGCCGGGGCTGCAGGATGCCAGGGACGTAGGGAGGTATGCCCACGAGTCCTGTGCAACATTTACTCAGATAGTTTGCAGCCAAAAACGTATTTCACAGGGCAGGTCGGAATTTCCTCAGCCAGGATTTCTCAAATAGAGGTCCAGGGGTCCTGTGCTGTAGCAGAGGGTCCAGTGTGCTGGAGGTATTCTTGGGGTGGGGGAGGGGTGGGGGGAGAAGACTATTTTCCCTTTATAAGGAGTTTGTATATTACTTGCAGATGATTTACACAAGTAAATATCCACTTAAAAGTGTGCAAATTGTAACTAATTATCTACAGCCAAAGTTTGCATCCTTTAAAAGTGTTTCTGTACTGTCAAAGCCTACTAATGTCCAACTAGCAGTCTTATATAAAAACCCATATTTAATAATAGTTCGGTCCATCGTGAATTATAGGATTTTGAAAAAAAAAAAAATGCAGGAAAGGGGGAACCAGAAAGCAGGTTTTACATTCCTAGCCTCTCCCTACAACTCTTAGAGTTTATCTAGACTCCTGAACCCACTTTTCTATGGTATCTTTTTCAGAATAAATTACTTGACACACAGACTCCACCTGTTCAGACACATCTTGTGGGTATCAATCAGTTTTCTTTTTGTTTTTTAAGATTTATTTATGCATACAAGAATTGGGGTACAGGCCAGAAGTGCAGGGGGTGACAGGACTCACCAGAGACAGAGTGGGGAGCAGAACAGGCAGTCTGACCAAAATCCACTGCTGAGGGGAGCAGCGGGCGGGTCAGGAGAGGTCCCATGTGGGTCACCTCCGGGGTGGGGATCGAACTCGTGCTGCGGTGGCTGTGACAGCTTCACAGTGCTGCGCTTTAACCCACTGCACCACCAGGGAGGGCCCCCAATCAAGTGTTCTTTCTGACTTTCTCTCACAGGCTTGGGGTACTGCTTCAGCTTTCTCCCGACGGTGACCATCCTGTCCCAGTACTTTGACAAGAGACGCTCGGTGGTCACTGCGGTGGCGTCCACGGGAGAATGCTTCGCCATGTTTGCTTTTGCACCAGGTAGGGGTCACCAGCACGGGACAGGGGAAGCCCCTGTCCTTGCTGCACTGACATGGCGGGTGGTAATGGCTGCTGACCGCATGAGGAAAGCTTAGCTGCTCTCTGCTCCAGCACATTTTTCGGCTCCTTAATCCCCCTCTTTGGCATTCAACCCTTTCACACTAGTCCAAGGTCACATAAATAGGAAAATGCACAGCCCACATATAGTGACAAAGCTTGAGCCTCCCGTTCCGACACAGATCACCTCGTGATTCGGGATGGTTCATACCGTTATTTCTCTTTGTCCAAAGGGTCGTATTCCGCGTGGATTTAAGTTAGGCCAAGAAAGTCAGTTTCATGATCTGTGTGTGGTTACTGCACCGTGAAATTATTAGTCCTGGTCTGTGTCTCTCTTTTTTTTTTTTTTTAAGATTTATTTATTTATTCGTACAGAACTGGGATACAGGCCAGAGATGTGGAGGGTGAGAGGATTCACTAGAGACAGAGTGGGGAGCAGAACAGGCAGATCGACAAAGTACACTGCTGAGGGGAGCAGCGGGCGGGTCAGGAGAGGTCTGCCTCGCCATATGGTCACCTCTGGGGCAGGCGGGAATCGAACTCATGCAGAAGTGGCTTTAGCTTCTCAGTGCTGTGCTTTAACCTGCTGCGCCACCAGGGAGGGCCTGTGTCCCTTTCTTAACATTTACATATGCACCACACTCCCGTAAGAAGGAGACCGATAACCTCGGAGACTCAGCTTCAGCCCTCGCTTGGCTGTTTCTTAACGGGTATGTTTGGGACTACATTTGGTTCAAAGGAGATTCATGTGAAAGTATTTAGGGGTGCAAGGTCCTATGTGTCAGTCTGTTCAGATAATTCAGAAAAATGAATGTGTCTGTCATCCAGAGAGAGACCTAGACAGAAAAAGGTTAATTGGGGGGTTTTGCTCAAGGATGTACAGGGATGGGAGCCATTTTCTCCACTTTCCTGTTGGTTTGAAATTTGTCTAAAGCAAATGTTGAGGGCAAAACGGGTGGATGGCCCATGACTGTGCTGAGGGTAGACTGGGCTTTGTTCTCCTCATCCAGCATCTCCTTGGCATCTGGTGGGTGCTTGAAGCAAGTTAGAAAAAGGAACTCAGACCAGTGATTGCCAAATGAGTGAAACACACTTTGAAATGCCCGTGTTGAAAGTGTTTTGCAACCTTCCATTTTCCATATTAGTGGGGGGAACAAGAGGTGCACTGAAACACCCCCGAGGAGGGCAGCTGCCTTGCTGAGCTGTCTCTGGGTGATCGCACGATGGTGGTTACCTGCCCGCTCTCAGATAATCAAGAGAGAGTAAAATTGAGATGCTGGAACAAATCCGTTCTGGGATGATGAAGGAGCTACTTTAAAATTTGTGGAGCCTGTGTTTCCTGATGTCACCATGGGGCTGTGTCCCCTTGGGTACCCATATTCTTCTGTAAATGTGAGGGGTGTCACATTGCTGGCCTCTGCAGGCTGCCGCTGGCCAGCAGCCCAGGACCCAGCTCCTGGCAGGGCAGAGGGGGTCTCCGTACTTAAGGACCTTCCATGAGGTGGGCCTGGGAGACCGGGCCGCTTGGTTCTAGGATGGCCAGTCAGGCGTCTGGCCGATGCTTTCCTCTCAGTCCATTACTACTCAGGGCTGACTGAGTGCTGGAAATACTTGGGCTCCAGCGTTGGCAAATTCTGTTTTTAAAAGTCAAATAGTGAATATTTTAGGCTTCACGGTCCCTAGGTCTGCTGATATCTGCCCACAGCACCCACGGGGGTCCCTGATTGAGTGTGGCTGCACCCCCTAAGCCCACTGTCAAAACTGGGCTCAGCCCACAGCCAGTGTTGGCAGCCTTGACCAAGAGTCTGGACTCATAGGGGCACCCACCCCTCCTGTCACCCCCAGGGGACTTTGGAGCTGAGACTGAAAACCTTTGTTTCCAGATAATCATCACACACACACACATGTTCTCTCCTGGGTTCATAAGGGCACCAAAGCAGAGAGAGAGTCCAGGTCGCCTGCATTGTCGCAGCTGAGTAGATTTTTACACAAGTTATGAGGAAATCTGCATCCGTACTTCTTCCTGGTACTTCCCTCCCGCCTAGAGTCTTTTTTTTTTTTGAGATTTATTTATGCGTACAAGAGCTAGGGTGCAGGCCAGAGTTGGGGTGTGTGTATGTGTGTGAGGTGATTCACCAGAGACAGAGCGGGGAGCAGAACAAGTAGAGCTACTGAAATCCACTGCTGAGGGGAGCAGCGGGGAGACAGGAGAGGTCTGCTGTGCCATGTGGGTCACTCCCTGGCCGGGGATCGAACTCCTGCTGCAGTGTCTGCGTGCCGTGGTGGCTGTGGGTAGATTCATAGTGCTGAGCCTTAACTCCTCCAGGGAGGGTCTAACCCGAGGCTGACTCTCCTTGCCCTGTCCAGCCATCACAGCCCTAAAGGAGCGCATCGGCTGGAGACACAGCCTCCTCTTCGTGGGGGTGCTGCAACTCAACATCGTGGTCTGCGGGGCGCTGCTGAAACCCATCGTCATCAGACCTCCGGGGTCCCCCAAAGTCGCCGCCCATGAACACAGGAAAGAGGCGCAGTACATGCTGGAGAATGAGAAAACGCGCACCTCCATTGACTCCATCGACTCAGGAGTAGAGCTCACTACCTCACCCAAAAACGTGCCTAGCCAGGGCGGGGGGGACCCCGAGCCCAAGGCGCCCGCGCAGCAGAACCTGGTGAGCGCCGGGCCCAGGCCCCGCGCCCTGGGCGGCACCCCGCTCCTGGACTTCTCCGTCTTGAAAGAGAAGGGGTTCATCTGCTACTCGCTCTTCGGGCTCTTCGCCACGCTGGGCTTCTTCGCGCCGTCGCTCTACATCATCCCGCTGGGCATCAGCCTGGGCATCGAGCGGGACCGCGCGGCCTACCTGCTGTCCACCATGGCCATCGCCGAGGTGTTCGGCAGGATCGGGGCCGGCCTGGTCCTCAACAGAGAGCCCATCCGCAAGATCTACATCGAACTCATCTGCGTCGTCTTCCTGACCGGGTCTCTGTTCGCCTTTACTTTTGCGACTGATTTCTGGGGCCTCATGTCCTGCAGCATTTTTTTCGGGTGCATGGTTGGGACGGTGGCGGGGACGCACATCCCGCTGCTCGCCGAGGACGACGTGGTGGGGATCGAGAAGATGCCGTCTGCCGCGGGCGTCTACGTCTTCATTCAGAGCCTGTCGGGACTGGCGGGCCCACCCCTTGCAGGTAATGGCAACACGCCAAGCTGGCCGGGCCGTGGATGGCCGGGTGATGCTGGTCCGAGCGTCCTCGGCGGTGGAACTGCAGTTGCCCAGCGGCCTCAGCCGGGGTACCGCAGTTCAGTTAAGGTTTGGGGGTGGGGTGAGACGCTGCATCCAGGTAAGCATCTATAGTTTGGAGCTCAGAATTTTGCAGAGACAGAGAGAAAGCAGGCTGGTCTGCCAGCGCCTTCTTTCCACGCTACCTTCCTGTTTGAATCTAATTTAAAAAAATAAGGGGCCGGGGGAGTCCCAGCATTGGCAGGATCACAGAGGCCCTGAGCCCACTCTTTGTTTGAATCCGAGGACGCTGAGACCAAAGGAGGCCAGCACTGGCTGCGTGGTAGAGAGAAGGCCTTGGAGTCTGTGAGGAGCCGGGCTGGCGGGCTTCTGCCATGTTGCCTGGTACATGCTGCAGGGGCGAGGGGTGACGAGGAGCCCTCCACTTGCTGTAGTCCTGTTCCCCCAGAGGCACACTGTGGGGCAGAGCAGATTCCAGAGGACTCCGTGGGTTACTGGGAATATTTCCTCATGGGAAGGACACGGGTGTGTTGCGTATCTCAGACCCCAACAGGCCTTGAAAGTAACTGGTGAGGTTCTGCCCCATGGTCCAGGGCAGCTTGAACTCCAGTTTAAGTGCAGAGCGCGATCCTCTCTGAGTGAACCCCGAGAATTTGTGGTCCACGGGAAGGAAGCACCGCTAAGGCACATGTGACCACTGTTTCCGAATGTGGGCACTTTGTGTTTTCTTTTTGAAGATTTTGTTTTAGTTTATTTATGCATGCAAAAACTGGGGTGCAGGCCAGAGGTGTGGGGGTGAGAGGATTCACCAGAGACAGTGGGGAGCAGAACAGGCAGATCCACTGAAATATACTGCTGAGGGGCACAGCGGGAGGAGAGGTCTGCCGCGCCCTGTGGGTCAGCTCCCCGGGGGGCATCGAATTCAGACCATAGTGACTGGTGATAGCTTGCTAGCGCTGAGATTAACACCCGTGCCCCCAGGGAGGCTCTAGATTTTGTGTGTTTTCTATCATTCATCTCAGGCTTAGAAATGTCTGAAAATTCTGAGAATCATGGTCTCTACTTCTGAGATAGGAGAAGTAATCTTAGTAGTTGTTCACTTTCAGATAAATGCTCTTGGCTTTATCCTTGGTATTCTGTCCAATCAAGTTGGCCCCTTCAATGACGACATACTGCTTTAGGCGACGCCTGGCAGGCCAGCAAAGGGCAGGAAGGATAACAGTAAGGTGACTACAGTGGCAATCAGATGGATTCCAAATGATTGAATTGTTTGACCATCCAGGAGTTTTTTAAAAAGGAATGTACCTTTCCAAAGGAACATGGCGCCACATCCTGGCACTCAGCTTCCCTGGGGCACTGTCACCCTGGGGCACTGTCACCGCCAGGGTTTCCAGGAGCCTCATGTGCGTTCCGCTCATTTCTCCTCTCCAGTTGAGGAAAGACGCTGCCTGGACACTCTTTATTCTGTAAACTAGGAAAGTGAAGTTTCTGGTTTTGAGGGGAGTGGGAGAGGTTTCGTGGCCGGTCGCTAATGGAGGCGGGTGCTCTCTCCCAGGTCTGCTGGTGGATCAGAGCAAGATTTACAGCCGAGCCTTCTACTCCTGCGCGGCTGGCATGACCCTGGCAGCCCTGTGCCTGGCGCTGGTGAGGCCCTGCAAGCTCGGGCTGTGCCAGCGGCGGGCCCGTGCGGCCGAGGCCGAGGCCCAGCGCGGGAGAGCCTCCCAGGACATACCCGAAGACTTTCTGGAAATGGACCTTGGGAAAAGTGAGCATAAAGTCCCCATGAAGGTGGAGCGGGTATGACGCGCTGGCCGGGCTGGGCAGGCGGGCCCGAGCACTGTCCACGCTGCGTGACGTTTTTAAGGAATGTATCCATGAACAACACTACCGACACCCCTTTTTTTGTTTTCCTTTAAATTTTCCTTTTTGCTTATGTTTAAGCCAAAATGGAAACAGCCAAACCCTCTCCCACCGCGATCTGGCTGTGCTCGGCAGCGTGGCGGTGTCGAAACAGACACAGGTCAGCCAGGCGGCCGCCGCCTGTGATAAACTGTCCTGAAACAACGTCTGGTGCAGGCCCTGACATGAAATTGGCCATTCAGAAAAAAAAGAAATCTTGAATCATTTTTGGAATGTCTCGTCCTCAGAAATGAGTCCATTTTTTGAGACTTTGAAAAACAGGGAGCTTTCCATTAGCAACTTACGGCCTCCATAGCCCAAATTTTCCACGGAAATGAAGTACAGTTTAACACCAAACCCTTAGCTAATTAACAGAAATTGAAAGGTCTGCCTATAACTTGAACTTCATCAATGTGAAGATTTTCACTTCTTTTAAGGCCAGTTATTACCAGAAGTATTTCCATACAAAATAGCTAAAAAGGCATTCAAAAAATTTATTTCCTCTTGCTTTTAAATGTTCAGAAATATGTGATCGTAGTGTCTTTAATTTAAATCACTATTTATTATTAAGTTATTCTAGGAAGATTAAAGTCATCAAAAGAAATTAAAATCTGAGACCCTCGTAGCCTCTAACCTTTCTGCAGTCCTTAAATGCCTCAAAGAATTCTCCCCCAGAAGGCCAAGTTACAATGATTCTCCAATCTGATTAAAGCAACGTGTGCTATTTAAAGGGGAAACAATGACGAACAAATCGCCTTAGCTTTTTTAAATGATTAGTTTTACCACCTAAGAATACTTGAGGATCTTCTTTGATCAGAATTGTATTTCACTGAATTGTTGCAGCATTTCTGATTTTTTTCTTAAAAAAAAAAAAATAACATCAAACTGTTGAAGCATCTCTTATTTCCCATGGGGTAGTAGAGACATTTACTTTACCTCCACAACTACAAGTTGCAATTTTTACCTTCTCATCTTCTCTAAGCTTTGATTGTTCCAAGTGGCCAGAGTTACCAGGTAACTTCGTGGCTTTTCTGGAGTGACACTAACGGGTGGCATTTCCTGTGTTAGCATCTTCCCATAAAGGCCAGTGTGAGATGTGTCGGTGACCTTCACGCACCTGAACCGAATTCCACTCTGTGGGTGATAAGCAAAGCTCGCTGCCCCATCTTCCTACATTAACTGTTAATTTACGAAAACTCAGGGGGAAAAATTAACAAGCCTAGTTTGGTTACAGGTACATACAAGCTTGAATATTTCTCTGCACTGAAGTGGAAATGGTGTGTTTCATCACCACCTGCTACTTTTTGTATAGCATCTTATCAGCCATAGAAATAGGACAATCTGTAAAACTCTGGGGATGGCAGAGGAGAAAGTGGCAAAGTGTCATAAACAGACACACCTGAAACAAGGTGGCTGCAGCAAATTTCTGTCACGGCTTGAGAAGGACATTGGGCTTGTGGCAATTTGACAGACACGTGACTTCAGCACTTTACACTATTTTTTACTATGAATGTTCAATACAATTTAGTATTTATAACTGATCTCTGAGCGATCCGCTCTGTCCATTCTGTTAACTGCATGAGCAAAAGATGTATGCCAACTTCAGTTTGTCAATAATCAAGTTTTAAATGTCTGGAAGAAAATGACATTAAGATTGCTGATTTGTTCTGTATTTGTGATATTCTGGTACTTCTAGATTTGCAATAAATGGATGGCTTTTTTTTATTTAAAAGAGACTTCTTGGTTGTGCATTGATTTATTGGCATTCATTGTTTGACTTGATTAAAGTTCTCAAGACTCAAGGATTCACTTCAAGGAAGTAACTTTTTTAAACTTTTCTGCAAAAACTTTTAGTGTTACTAGCAAGACTTAAACCTTCCCAAGAAGTGTCTGTCAAGCTTAACACACAGACTCTCCATGCCCAAATTCAGCAAGCCTTTTCTGGAAGGGCCCGCCCCACACATCTGCCCTTAGAATCTGAAAGCAGCCATGGACAGAGGTAAGTGAAGTGAAGTTCAAATTTCATAAAATGTTCGCACACAATGATATTTTTTTCCATGCAGAAAAATATAAAAGGTACAGTTAGCTCACAGGCTATAAGGATAAATGAGCATGAGCTGGGTTTAGCCTCCGCACCTTGGCTTTTGATCCCCACTCTGGACAGCTATGACTCTGAATGGGTCAGTACCCCCAGCGGTTCTGACTCAAAACTGTTGGGACTGACTGGAAAGGGTCACTGTCGCCAAAGTGTTTCTTTGGGCCACTGTCAGGAGAGACCAGGCTGTGGTCAGCTCATTTTCCCGTGATCAGAGAGGGTCTGCTTTAACCTTGAGGGCTGAGGAGTTTTTCAGTATAAATGTACACCATCTCCCTCCCCAAAAGTTGTTATTCCAGCCCTCCCTGGTGGCACAATGGGTTATGATGCAGCACTGCAAGCTGGGTGCAGCCGCTTCAGTGCGAGTTCGATCCCCGGCCCCATTGGTGACCCACACGGCGCAGCAGACCTCTCCTGACCTGCCTGCTGCTCCCTCAGCAGTGTACTTCGTCGATCTGCCCGTTCTGCTCCCCACTGCCTGTGATGAAGCCTCTCGTCGCCCCTGCACCTCTGGCCTGCACCCCAGTTCTGTGTGCATAAATAAATAAATCTTTTTTTTTTTTTTAATGAGTTAAGAGGGCGCAGCAGGTTAAAGCACTGCACTAAGAAGCTAAAGCCGCTTCTGCATGAGTTCGATTCCTGCCTGCCCCGGAGGTGACTACATGGTCTGGCAGACCCCTCCTGACCCCTCCTCCCCTCACCACCCTGCACCTCTGGCCTGCATCCCAGTTCTGTATGTATAAATAAATATTTAAAAAAAAAATGAGTTAAGACCATATACTATTTTAAGACAATTAGCATCCTTAACTGACACGATGTTGTTTCCAACCCATTAAACAAAATTAGGGGCTTTATACCCCAGCTAATAATGTGTAATGTAGCTTCTGTGCTCATTGGCCTGCTCTTTAGCTTCATGGTGACAAAATAGAAAATGCATTCTGAGTCAGGATTCGCTGACCCAGTTGCTCATTCCAGTCACCTAGTGGTATTTAGTATGTTTAGATTTCTGTGCCTGTTCTCAACTATTCTAAACCAGATGGGGGCTTGTAATAGAGATCCAGAGATTAGAAGCCATTACTTTTAAATTTTGTAAAGGGTGTGAGCGTTACTTAAACCCATCTATGTAAATATAGTTCTGACATGTCACATGCTAAAAGGCCACTCCGATAAAGCATTGTGTTGAGAAAAGCTGCGCTGGTTTTCAGATTAATAACAAAGGTTAACATAAACCAGGCTACCGGCGCCACAGGTGGCTAGAGGCCTTGTATAAGAAAGGAAACTAGCTCCCTCTGGCGGTCAGTTTCTGTAATGGCTCCCTGGGAGCACAGCAAAATTCGGGAACTTCTAACACGGCTTTTCCTAAAGGGAAAACTCACATTCAAATCAAAACGACATCAGTAATGTCCGGATGTCCTAGAGGGGAACCTGGACCACAAAAATAATATTCTAGAACACTTAACAGAATATTGAGAGAAAATACACGCTCTGGCCATGTATGGAGAGTATGCAATACTGTTCCTGTTCTCGAGAAAAGAACAGTGCCCTAGAACTCAGCCAGCACCTTCCGCCCCTCTCCGCATGTTCAACTCCCGTTCTGTTCTATGTCCTGACTCTGCCACTGATTCTCAGGACTTAGAGCACCAACGAGGTGTGGCCAACTTATCACGTCCTCCACAGGACCCCTGATCTTCCTCCCCATGCCAACCCCCACCCCGCTGCTTCTGCTTTCTAAATACAGCCAGAAGGAACTGACCACTGCCACCTCCCCCTGCTCTTGGCCATTCTTCATCTTAGCTGGAGCAAGGCGAAGACCCTCTGGCCAGTCTCTCCACTTCCAACCTTGCTACACACCCAGCCTTAATTTTCTAATCTTACAAAGATCCTTTGCAAGCACCAGTCCAGGCAGGGAAACATTTGAAACCAAAAATCCTTACCTAAGGGCTCTCGCGGCGCCACATGTGACTCCAGCCACGCTGGCCTTGTGACTGGGCCTAATAACACAAGCCTCAGGCCCTGGTCTGCAGGGTCCCCTATACTCTTCCCTCCCATTGCCACATGATCTTTCAACCCAGCACCCCCCAAATGTCACCCCTCAGGCATTCCTGGCTATTCTATTAACCCAGCAATGCTTGCTTCTACCCCTCTATGCTGATAGTACATAGAAAAGTTTCTGATGGACTTTCCCTGGCGGTGCAATGTGTTAGGACGCAGCACTGCAAGCCGCTTCAGTGTGAGTTGGATCCCTGTCCCGGAGGTGACCCACATGGTGCAGTAGACCTCTCTTGACCTGCCCGCTGCTTCCCTCAGCAGTGTACTTCTTCAGTCAGCCAGTTCTGCTCCCCACTCTGTCTCTGGTGAGGCCTCTCACCAACCCTGCACCTGTGGCCTGTACCTCAGTTCTGTATGCATAAATAAATAAATCTTAAAAAAAAAAAAACTAAAAGTGGGTAATCCTCTGGCTGACATTATTTTACTTTTTATGAGAACATGCAAGCAAAGCAGAACTCAAATTCTGGGAGAGGTGGGACCTGACCCACCTTTATCATTGTTTTAACTAGACACAAGTTTACTTAGCTACCACAGGCACGATTCATCTGTGAAATGGACTGAGCAGTATCCACCACATTAACACTTTATAATTCTGCTTTCCAAGAATGGAGATGTATTTAAAGGAATTACTGGACACTTGGCAATTGGTAGGGAGTGCATAAAGCAATGAGTGGTATCACAACTCAACATCAATGGCACAAGCAACAGAAGCAAAATAAACAAATGGGACCATATCAACTTAAAAAGCTTCTTCATGGTGAAAGAAGCCACTAACACACACGTCACTGAATGCATCTGACAAGGAGCTGATATCCAAAATATGTAAAGAACTGGTGCAAATTAGCAACAACAAAACAACCTGTTAAGACATGAGCAGAGGACCTGAGTAGACATTTCTTTAAAGAAGTCATAGAATGACCAGTGGGCACATGAAAATATGTCCATCATCTCTTATTATTAGGGAAATGCACACTGAAACCAGTGAGGTATCACCTCACACCAGTTAGAATGGCTATTAACAAAATGACAAGTGTTGGCAAAGATACAGACAAAAGTGTCCGTGAGAATGTAAAGTGGTGCAACCACTATGGAAAACAGTACGGAGATACATCAAAAAATTAAGAATAGTGGGCCTCTCTGGTGGTCTAGAGGTTGAGTCTCAGAGCTAGCACCATGACAAACTGAATTTGCTCCCGGACCAGGAGCTGACCCACAAGGCGCAGCAGAATTACAATGCTGCCTACTTGAAATGCATATATTAGCAACTAATGTTATCTCAATGAAAATATAATTTTTTAATTATCTGCCATGGAGAATAACAACATTCAAACTTGAATCAACTTGAATCTAAAACCCTTAAAGCACCCATGCCCCTTCAGCTGAAGGTCAACACTCAGCACCAGGAGACCTGCACGACCTTATCCTTACAAACAGTTTTCCCTCTAATCAATGCAGTCTCATTGGTGTATCCTCCGTGGACCAGATCGACATTGGCACTAATCTAGAGCAGAGCTGTCCTACACAAGCCTGGAGCCAGGGGGCGCTGGTGCGCAGTGAAGGTGGTCAGTGGGCATTGGGCTGTACTGTAGATATACATGGCATACCCGGTTTAGTAAGAAAAAAGAACGTAAACGATCACAACAGTTTTTATATAGATCGCACACTGAAATACCATCTGGAATGGATCGAATGACATGACAGCCCTGACTTTCACTTCACGGGCCTGAGTTTGCCAGTGCGGATGATGTGGCTGCTGGAAACGCCTAAATGTACTTGCGTGGCTTGCCTTACGGTCCCATGGCTGGTGTGGACGGTGCTGCTCTAGATTATCCATCAGGAGGAGGATTCCGGTGCTGCTCTAGATTATCCATCAGGAGGAGGGTGGATAAAAAGCAAAGCAAGCACTTCCTACTGGATTTGATGTAAGCAACGCTGCGTTGCAACATCAGGTGTGCGCCACTGAGCGGCAGCGTGTGTGCGGACCACGCCGAGTTTGCCGCCAGGTCCGAAGCCGTCCTCGGCCGCACGAGCCATCGCCCCCTTCCCGAGGTGCCCTCCCCCTCCCTCTGGGCACCGTCAGTGGTCTGGTGGGCCAACGTTTGGTTTGGATTTAGTCTTCCCCAGCGCTCCGCCCGCCCAGGGCTGGTGGCACTCACGTCTCCTCCGGGCTCCGCTGCCTCTCCAGACGTCTCCCCAGGGCCCCGCCTCGGAGTGGGGGGCCCCGCGGCTCGCAGTCGGTCGGGGCGCC